ATTTCTAACAACAACAAAAAAAGGAATTAGCCATCCTAAATGTTTCAGTTTTTTTTTTTTTCCTTTTTTTATCTTTTTTACTGACTGGTAACGGGATCGCAACCCTCAGTGTTGCGCCCGCACTGCGCTCAACCAGTGAGCAGGAACCGGTCTCCACATCGGATCCGAACCCTCGGCGGGAGCGCCGCCGCACTCCCAGGCGGCGCACTCTCCAGTGCGCCACCAGGCCGGCCCCTAAATGTTTCAGATTTTGCACATACTTTTGCATCAATAAATACTAATGTAGTGAAATTTCCTAAAAATAGGATCCACATTTTTTTCTTTAACTAGAGCTGCCTCATAATAAATGCAAGAACAATTTAAATTGCCTTACCATTAGTGCTTCGTGTAAAATATAGGCAATTATAGGTTCACTCATTCTTTCACCCCTCTTCAGAAATCCTTTCACAAGATCAGTCACTGATCCTCCATTGCACAGCTAAAAAAGAATATTTCAAGATGGATGTTAAAATGGATACCTTTTTAAGTTCCTGCTATAAAAAATTTTCCTAAAACACTTTTAAAAATTGTTCCAATTTTCTGTTTCAAATGATTACACCCATTGTCTTTAGGGNCGCCTGTACCGGACCGGGACCGGCAACGGGATCGCAACCCTCGCTGTTGCTCCCGCACCTCACTCAGCCAGTGAGTGGCCGGTCTGTATGTGGGATCCGAACTCTCGGTGGGAGTGCTGCCGCGCTTCCCAAGTGGCGCACTATAGCAGTGCGGCACCGGGTCAGCCCGATTTATGATAGTTTAATTAATAGTTTGATAGACTCTGTGACCTCGACATGCAGATATATCATTTTATATGTGCATTAATTGAAAAACATGCTTCCTTTTGGCAAAACTCCAGAGTGCATTGAAGTAAGGATTACAAATCATATTTTAAGAAAACTGTTTAAAATAACATGTTTCCTATTCTCTTTAGCATCCTCCCTCCACATCCTTCCACAGCAGGGAGAATCTAAATAGAAAAAGAAGAGAAAAAAACATGATAGAGGAACTTTTCATATCTGGATTCTACAAAGTTAGGTAACATTAAATGCCACAGAAAACATTCAAAGGAGCTGCATGTTTGCAGAATAGAGAAACACTGGTATCAGCAGTGAATATGAGAGGGAGGTAACTGGGTCAATGGCCCCGATCAAGAGAATGTCCCAAGGAAGCTTTGACCCCCCAAGTCCTTGATCCCCTAATCCAGTCCTTGATCCTTTAGTCTTTGCCTTCAGCCTTGCCCCTCTTCCTAGGGCTCTTGTCTCCCTGCCCCTTTCTCTGAGTTCCTTTCCCACCTACCTTTGTTACCCACCAGTGCCTAGGAACCAAAAGAGACGTCATTTCCCTGACTCTCTTCTAACTTAAGTGCAGGCAGAGAAAAAAAGATGACAGCAAGTATATTCCTAGCTTCCTAGTTTGAAATACTGAATGAATTTTCTCACAAACTTTTTCTATTATGGTAATTAGATTTTACTGGGTGCCTGAACACTTCTGGTACATTATGGATTAGTTAATAATTACTAAGATGCATCAAGCACATATTTTGTGCCACACACATTTCTAATCTACTTACATGAATTATCTCTAAACCTCACCACTCTCTGAAGTAGGTATTAAAGATGAGGAAACCGAGAGAGATTTATTATTAATGTCTTTCTACATTCAAAGAAAACCTCCTTTAGCTTATACAGGAGTATGTGCAGCCTAGCATTATGAAATGTGCATTTTCTTCTGTATCAGGAAGGGGAACACGCTGGACAAATGAGAGTGTTGCTGCCTTGGAAGCACAGTACAGTCAGGCTGCCTCCACTGCGGCCCATGATTGGTTCACAAAATTATTCACAGTTGATTGAAAAGAAATCGAGTCCATTAAACTGCAAGCTGCTTATTTAAAAGAACCTAAGTTTTAGGACTAGTTTTAAAATTCCTAAAAATCACTGTAGGGAGACTATATTTCTTTTCCTATGTCTCCAAATTCTGGCCTCTCTTTGGCTGCACCTTCCTCAGTTAAGCAAGAGTAAACAGGCTGGCTGCTTTGACTCAGCATAGTGAATTTCAGATTCATCCATGTTGTTGCACATTCTTCTTCAAATGCTATTTTAATGTTGTTAATTCCTTTTTTAATCCTGAGTATTCCATTGAATGGATGAATCCCTGCTTATTCATTTACTGACTGAAAGATTTGAGTTGTTTTCAGTTTTTGGCAACTATGAGTAAAACTACAGTAAACATTCACATAGAGTTTTGATGTAAATAAAAGTTTTCATTTCTCTTGGGTAGAGACCTAAGAGGAAATTGCTGAATTCTATGGTGTTTTGAATGAAACTCTGTCAACTTAGCTGGTAACTACTATCCCCAGCAGCTGAGAGGCCTGGACAAAGAGCAACAGCAGGGGACTTACCTGCATAGGTCCCTTTGGGGTTTCCCCACCTTCAGTCATTAGATCCTGGGCCAGGCTTCAATGGCACAACCACAATGTGAAAGTTTAAGAGGTTTTAATACTTACAGACTGTAAGGGGCGCACAGCATGCCCAGAGGAGGCCACATACACATGGAGGTCAGGGAGTGAAGGCAGAGTGAGAGGGGACTTGTGGGTCAATGCCTTTATTGGGTACAGGGCGTTATCTAAACAGGTTTCCTGCGGGAGTTTTGAAGCAAGCAAGCACTAGATCCAGGAGGTCACGCTGTGACTGAGAGATGGTCACTTTAAGTTTTAGTGCAAATGTCTGAATGGTCCCTTTAAAGGAAGCTGCTGGAAAGCAGAGAGCCCAGCCTGCTAGGCAGAAGAGATGCCTCTAAGTCTTTATCTCTGGCTACCAGCTGTAGCCATTCAGGTGGGGTATAGTATTGGAAACTGTGTCAAGGGTGATTGAGCCCTCCTTCTAGTATGCAAAACTTAAATACATTTTAAAATGAATGTTGAGGCAATATAAAATTATAAGCACTCACTACTGGGTCATCTATTTAACTGTCTCTGCATCTGCCAAACTATTTCCAAAAATGACTATACCATTCTGCATTCCCAGGTAGCAGTATATGAGAGTTCCAGTTTCTCCACATCCTCATCAGCACTTGACATTGTGAGGTGTTTTCTTAAAGCCATTCTAAATGGTAGTAAGTACCTCATGCTTTTAATGTGGATTTTCCTAGTGACTAATAATGTTGACCATCTTTTCATATACTTATATGCCATCCATACATTTTCTTTGGTGATGTGTCCAAATTTTTTTTTTTTATTGGTTGTTTGATTTCTATTATGGAGTTTTGAAAGTTCTTTATATATTCTGGATATAAGGTTTTTATCAGACAGGTGCTTTGCAAATATTTTCTCCCAGTCTACGGTTTGCCCTTTTAAGTGTTTTATGAAGAGCAGAAGTTCTAAATGTATCATTTTTCAAAAAATTTATGGGATGTGTGCTAAAAACTTTTGTCTAAGCCAAGGTCACAAAAATTTTTCTCCTATAATTTCTTCAGGAAGTTTTATAGTTTTTGGTTTTACATATAGGTAGGTCTGTGATCCATTTTGACTTAATTTTTGTATATAGTGTGAGGTATGGTTTGTATATTAATAAACAAATATTACAGCAACTTTTCTATTAGTTGAAAGTGTCCAAAAAACAGAAGATATAACTCTGAATTCAGTTTAAAATCTAGTTGCCAACACCAAGAATGGGGGACCCTTAAACATACATTGCTAAGTGAAAGGCAATTTGAAAAGGCTACATACTATATGATTCCAATTATATAAAATTCTGTAAAAGGCAAAACTGTGTGGACAATAAATAAAAAGATCAGTGGTTGCCAGTGGTCCAAGGGAAAGGGAGAGAGGGATGAATAGGTAAAGCACCGTGCATTTTTAGGGCAGTGAAACTAGTCTGTATAAAACTATATTATACATTTATACATGTAACATTACATTATACATTTAACATATATTATACATTTATACATTTAGTTTATATTATACATTTGTCAAAATCCATAAAATGTACAACACAAAGAGTGAGCCTTAATGTAAACTATGGACTTTAGCTAATAATAATGTATTATTATTATAGCCTCATCAATTGTAACAAATGTATCACACTAATAGGATGTTAATAATAGAGGAAATGGCAAGGGGTGGAGGAGTGATTGGAGCTCTCTGTACTTTCTGCATAATTTTTCTGCAAACCTAAAACTGCTAAAAA